TTCACAAGGCGAAGGCTTGTCTGGTGCCAGGAATAAGGTCAAGGGCAATCCCAATGCTGTGTCTAAGGCAAGGGCTGGGCCAGATTCAATGGGCTCTACCCAGCTCCAGGCTATAGCCAAATCTCAGGGTGAGGCCTTGCCTGGTACCAAAAATAAGGTCAGGGACAATCCTATTGCTGTGTCTAAGGCAGAGGCCAGGGCAGATGCAACAGGCTTTGCTCAGCCCAAAGCTCTGGACAATTCTCAGGGTGAGGCCTTGCCTGTTGCCAAGTGTATGATCAAGGACAATCCCAATGCTGTGTCCAAGTCAGAGACTGGAGCAGATTCAACAAGCTCTGTTCAGCCCCAGGGTATGGACAATTCCCAGGGTGTGGCCCTGCTTGGTGCCAGGAGTAAGATCAGGGGCAATCCCAATGCTGAGTCTAAGGTAGAGGCTAGTACAGATACAATGGACTGTGGCGAGCCTCAGTCAATGGCCCATTCCCAGAGTAAGACCTTGCCTGGTGCAAAGGAAAAAGCTGTGCCCAAGTCTGAGGCAGAAGCCACAGAGGAAGGTGCTATCTATGCAAATCCCAAGGCTAAGGCCATGCCCACTTCTGAGAGTGAGGGTGGGGCAGGCACTCAGGCCTGCAGAAAGACTCAGCCTAAGGTCCATGACTATTACTGGAGTGGAATTGGTATTGAAGATTGGATTGCTTCCGAGCGATGGATCAAATTTAGGTTTCAGGCTAGGGATGGATACTGGGAGAATAGCATGGCCTGGGCTGATGATGAGATTGAAGCCAGTATTGAGTCTTGGAGTGGGGCTAGTGATAAGTCTGGTATTAGGTCCTGGGCTGGGGCATGTGATGAGGCTGACATTAAGTCCTGGCCTGGGGCTATGGTTGAGAATGAGGTTGGTATTAGATCCCGGGCTAGAGTTGGAGACCAGGCCAGTGGGGGGCTCTGGGATGGGAGTCGTGTCAGCGAAGGGTCCTGGGTGGGGAATAAGGCTATTGGAGGATCCTGGACTGGAGCTGAGAACAAGGTCAGTGGGGGGTCTTGGGCTGGCACTGGGAACCAAGCTATTGGGGAACCCTGGACTGGAGGTCAGGCTGGTGAGGTTTCCTGGTCTGGGGGCCAGGCCACTGGGGTGTCCTGGGCTGGGGAAGAGGCCTTTGGAGGGCCCTGGGCTGGGGCTGAAGAACAGGCCAGTGGGAGGTCCCAGGATGGGGCTGGGAATGAGGCTAGTATTGGGTACTGGGCTGGGACTATGGACCAGGCTAGTGGAGAGTCCTGGTTTGGAACTGGTGATCCACCTGGTGATGGATCCAAGCCTAGATTTGATAATCAGGCCAGTGAAAATACATCCTGGGATGGTGCTGGTGGCCAGCACAGTGGAGGATCTAGGCTGGGGTCTGAGGACCAGTCCAATGGTAGGTCCTGGGCTAGGACTGGAAACCAGGCCAGTAGAGGATTCTTGGTTGGGGTTGTGGACCAGGCTAGTGATGGGTCCTGGGTTGGGATTGGTGATCATTCTGGTGGTGGGTCCAAGCCTAGATCTGAGGATCAGGTCAGTGAAGAAGGGTCTTTGGCTGGGACTGGTGTTCAGGCTGGTGGAGGGTCCAGGTTGGGGCCTGAGGACCAGTATAGTGGAAAATCCTGGCCTGAATCTGGGGATAAAGTCAGTGAAGGGTTCTTGGTTGGAGTTGTGGACCAGGCCAAAAGAGGGTCCTGGAACAGACCTGGGGATCAGGCTGGTGGTGAGGCAAACACTAGATTTGAGGATCAGGACAGTGGAAGAGGGTCCTGGCCTGACAATGGAGGCCAGGCTGGTGGAGGTTCTAGACTAGGATCCAAGGACCAGTCCATTAGAGATTCCTGGGCTAGCACTGGGGACCAAGCCAGTGGAAGGTCCACATTGGGGCCTGAGGATCAGTCCAATGGATGGTTCTGTGCTTGCAGTGGAAGTCAGGCCAATGAAAGAGGGTCTTGGGGTGAAGCTGAAGGCCAGGTTGTTGGAGGGTCTAGGCCAGGGTCCACAGACCAGTCCAGTGGTGGATCCTGGGCTGGCACTGGATGCCAGGCCAGTGGAAAGTCCTGGGTAGGGGCTGGGGATCAGGCAGGTAGCTGTTCCAAACCTGGATTTAAGGATCAGGCCAGTGGAAGAGGCTCTCGGGCTGGCACTGGGGGTCAAGCTGGTGGAAAATCCTGGATTGGGTCTAGGCTGGAGCCTGAGAACCAGGCAAGTGGAGGGTCTTGGGGTATGGCTGGGGACCAGGCCAGTCGAAGGTCCAAGGTCAGTGCTGGGATGGAGGCCAACAAAGGATACTGGTTTAGGGCTGGGGGTGAGGCTAATACAGGGTCCTTGTTCAGGAGAGGGGAAGAAGCTGGTATTGTGTCCAGGCCTGGATGTGAAAATGAACCCAGTATAGAATTCAGATCAGGGGCTGAGGAAGAGGGAATCATTAGTTCCAGATTCGGGGCTGAGAACAAGGCCAGTATTGGGTCCTGGATCAGATCTGAAGAAGAGGCCTTTGCGGATTCCTGTGTGGGTGCTGAGGCTGGAGCTGAGGCCAGGAAAGAGTCTTGGCTTTGGGATGGAGATGCAACCACTACATGGTCGAGGCTTGGGGCTGGGGAAGAGCCTGGCATGGGGTCCTGGACTTCCACTGAGGGTATACATGAGGATGATCTAAGTAGAGCGTCTAGCCCTGATATTGAGGAAATCAGTTTAAGGTCTTTGTTTTGGGCTGAGAGTGAGAACAGTAATGAGTACAGATCCAAGAGTGAGGAAAATGTCAGTTTTGAGGAGGGTGGTGGAGCTAAGGCCAACACTGATGATAAGCTTGAGGCTGCTGGTGGAGTCAATGTAAGGTCTTTGTTCTGGGATGGTAATGAAAACAGAAGTGAAGACAAATCTGCACCTAAGACTAAAGCCAAAAAGTCACCTGAGACAAGAGGCACATATCCGTCCATGGTTCCTGGGGCAGGAATGGGGTCATGGGCAGGAGCCATGATCTGGACAGAAATGAAATTTCCATCCCAAAATGAGTTCTGCTTACCACCTGAAGATGAGCTCAGAGAGCAGATCAGGTCTGAGGAGAAAACACAGCCCTGGACTTGCCTCTGTAAACACAAAGCTAATATGGATCCACGAGAGCTTGAAAAACTCATTTGCATGATTGAGATGACTGAAGATCCTTCTATTCATGAAATAGCCAATAATGCTCTGTATAACAGTCCTGATTATCCATATTCCCACGAAGTCATTCGTAATGCAGGCAGAATCTCAATTATTGAAAGCTTGCTCAATAATCCCCATCCCAGCGTTAGGCAGAAGGCTTTAAATGCACTGAATAACATCTCGGTGGCTGCTGAAAATCATAGGAAGGTTAAAACATACTTAAACCAAGTGTGTGAAGACACTGTCACCTATCCCTTGAATTCAAATGTGCAGCTGGCTGGACTAAGATTGATAAAGCACCTGACTATTATTAGTGAATATCAGCATATGGTTACAAATTACATTTCAGAATTTCTTCGTTTGTTAACTGTGGGAAGTGGAGAAACTAAAGACCATATTTTGGGAATGCTTTTGAATTTCTCTAAAAATCCATCTATGACAAAAGACTTGCTCATAGCCAATGCACCAACATCACTGATTAATATCTTTAGCAAGAAAGAGACAAAAGAGAATATTCTTAATGCTCTTTCACTGTTTGAAAATATAAATTACCATTTTAAAAGAAGAGCAAGAGTATTTACCCAGGACAAGTTCAGTAAAAATTCCCTTTATTTTGTTTTCCAAAGACCTAAAGCATGTGCCAAGAAACTTCGAGTCTTAGCAGCAGAATACAATGACCCTGAGGTGAAAGAAAAAGTTGAGCTGTTATTAAGTAAACTCTGATTAGCTGTATGTTTCCAAAGAAATCAGTAATATTTTGGTTTTGCAGCCTGGAGGTAATGCACTTTGTAAATTGCATTATAACTTTGAGATTGATGTTACTTATGACAATCTATAGCTCGACCATTTTATGAACACCAAATTAATTCAAACTTGTACTGAAAATACATGTGTTGATTTTTACCTTGTCTGGATTGAGATAAACTTAGTATGCTTCATGAGCAGAAACTAAACTGATTCTTCTAAGTAAGGTAATCTTTGGTCCTTTGTGTGGACTTATGTTTATACATTTGAGGTTTTATTTTTCTCATCAATAAAGTTGTGTGTTTTAAGAAGAAAAAAGACACGTCTTTGTCCTTGAGTTTATGATCTTTTTGAAACAGCAAGATATATGGAAGCAAACAAACAAAACATACTAACAAAACCAGAAGTCTCTGATTATAGCCAGACCCTTCCCATCAGGGCAGGAACTTCTGCAGGTGACAATGCTCAGGGCAAGTTTTACAGAGGAGGGACACTTAAGTAACCTGGGTTTGAAGAAGGGGATAAAAACGGCACAAGGGCATTGGAGGAAGGAAGAGTGGTGGGGAGAAAGGCATGGAGGTGGGGATCCTGCTCCAGAGAGGAGGCTGACCTGCTTGGAGTGCAGTGTGGGAAGGAGAGTGATGGGAAATGTAGTCCAGCAGTTGGGGTGAGTCCTGTTCGTGGAGGATCCCGGATTGCTAAACTGAGGTGTGTGCATATTACTCCATTCACCCCTGGAAGACACCAAAACCTTTCATAAGCACAGGAATGACAGGATGAAAGGAAAACCATATGGCTGATGTGTGTGCAGGATGGGTCTGAGTTGGGGATGGAACAAGGGTGGCCACTGGAGATTGGCACACCAGTTAGGAAGTGACTACCGTGGTCCAGGTGCAGGATGATAAAGGTGAGACATTTCACTGCTGATGGTGGGAATGGTAAGGGTAGGAAGGAAATGAGACCTTTTGAATGAAGGAGTGTTGGAGTCCATTCTGGGGGCATATAGAGAGGGACAGTTTTATTTTAGAGTCCTGGGGGCACTTGATAGGAAAACATCCTCTTTCTTGGCCAACTCTGGTATCTATGTCAGTGACTACATTAGTTACTACTTTGAAACAGGAAGATATCATAGAAGAAAGAATAATTTTTAGTGTTTCTATCAGGTTTCTTTTATAAGGTTGGCTGTGCCAAGATTTTTGTGGAACCATCCAGAGGGCTGCTGGCATCCATACTGGAGAAGATCCACTTCTATCCCATCTAGAGTGGTGAGGGTGTGTGTGGTGGGGGCACTCCAACTGTGCTGATGGGAGCATACACTGGGTACAAGGCCCATTCGCACACATGTTTTAGCAGCCTTTAAGGTGTGCATGTTCTTTGACCCAGTCATTCCACTTGTAGAAATTTATCCTGAGGAAATAATCAAATAATTGGCTGGTACAAGGCTTCAAATTATTTTGAAGAGTGAAAAACTGAATGACCCATGTTTCAAAATAAGCACTTGGCTAAGCAAATTAGGGTATGTCTACACATTGAAACATTATGCAGCTCTTAAGACTGTAGATGGGTATCTACACTAATTTTTAAAAATATATTTATTCAGTTTTAGTTGACATTCAGTATTATTTGATATTAGTTTCAGGTGTACAGCGTAGTGGTTAGAAATTTATATAATTCATGCAGTGATACTCCTGATTAGTATAGTGCCCACCTGGCACTATGTATTGTTATTGCAACATTTACACTTATTTACTTGGAAAGGACTCAGCATATAATTAAGTGGGAAAATAGGCTGTGAAAGCACTAATTATACTTTTTAATGAAGAAAAGTATATATTTAAATTATCTCAGTGTAAAAACTGATGTATACTCTGAGAATGTTAATAGTTTCCTATGGGTGTTAGATTAATAGGTGATTTTATCTGTGTTTAACTCATCTGTATTTTCTGATTTTTATATAATGAACCAGGATTTTTTGCATAACTTGCCAAATGGAAACAATGAGTCCAGGCTAAGCATGCCTGTAAGTAGCATTTCAGAGACCTAGAGCAAAAGTATAAATGGAGCTCACATATTTAAGTCTAAGTATTTGGAAGGTATCAATTAAATTTTTAAACAAATATTATTTAAATAAAGCTGTAAATGTGTGTGTAAATGTTTGAAAATTTAAATCTTAACTTTTTAAAAAAGGAAAACTGTTCTGTATTCTAGCATCCAATGGCCACCAACTTTCTAATAGAAAAAATATCACACTTTGTGGTGGATTGTGCAATCTGCTGCCTTAATCCCCCTTCAGGAATAAAGAGTTTATTATTTCAGTTGCTAGGAGTGCTGCCAGCAGACAGCCCTCAGCTGTCCGCTCTCTTCAGGAATTTCCTCAGCTGGAGAGCCACTTCCCCTAAGGTCATACCCCATTCCTGGGGTACTTCACATGCAATGATTCATCAACATTGCCTTCTTGCCCCAAATGGGATAGCTTAATTTCTCCGTCTGTCCAATCCTACTTTTTTTTTTCCCATCCACAGGTGTTGATCCCAAGAGCATTCCCTAGTAAAAGCCCTTCATGCTGATCTCTGTCTCTGAGTCTGCTCTCCAGGAAGCCAGCCTACAACAGTTGGTATGAGGAGCAGTCAGGAAACCATACATTGTGATGACATTTTGGAGATGGATCACCTACTGCCCAGCTGGCAATGATGGCTCCGTCATTGGTGGTAGGTGGAATAGAGAGGCACCTGGAACAGGTGGCAGAGGAATTGTTACAGCTTTCACTGATGATGAACTGGGGTGGCACTGGTGGAAGAGAAGGCATTAACTGGTACCATGTAGCAGCATTTTGAGAAAAATATGGGAAATATTAAATACAAGGAAGGCCAGAAAATTGGGTGGCTATAGCTAAGCGTGATTGACCTCAAGAAAAAAAAATAATGAAAAGCTGAATAAATTAATCAACAGTTAAAATCTGTGTGAGAAAGTCAGGCAGGGCTTCATTCATAAAATATAAAGAGGTCCAGAGGCCCTCATCTTTTCCAGGTAGAGGGTAGAGAAATTTGAGAACCAGGCCCAGGACTTATTGGAAGCAAGCTTCAAAGAAAGTTAAAATCCCAACCAAGACACGTCTGCTATGCCAAGGTCAGGGCCCTGGTTAGGAAGGAATGGGACCCTGACACATCAGATGAGGACATCTTGATTGATGTCCATAAAAATCTTATATCCTCAGATTTCCCTGAACCCCTTGAGCATTCAGAAGCATCCCATTCCTTTCTATTAAGGGGTAGCGCCTCACCTTGCTTAAACATGCAAAGCCCTTTCCTCTGTAAGATAATGTGTGTTTCCCTCAGAATCTGTCCCCACCTCCCATTCTAGCCATTGCACCTATATCTAGGGTTATGTCACAGTATAGCTGCCAGCACACAGCTGCCACATCGCTGGGGATGTGCTAGGCCTGATAAGGAAGAAAAGGGAATGCCCCTAAGAAAGAGCTGCAGGATCTAGCCAGAATGTACTAGCAGGTGCTAAGGGAGTAAGCATGGCACTGATGAGGGGAGCTAGAATATAAAATTGACTGAGAGTGAATTAATTGATTTGAGAGTTCTCTCCCAAAATACAGGATTTATCACCCTGGGAAAGACCCCAGGAGATCATGTGAAATCACACTAGAATGACTCCTCAAAGTATGCAAAAAAACAATGGCCCACAGTGAGTGAGGTATAAATGCCAGAGCTGCCATAGCAGATGGTGGGAGATGGGATTAAAAGCTCAGGGGAGTGGGAATGATAGAATCAACATAGTATATAAGCCAGGAAATCCTCCAGACAACCATGTTCTGCAGGAGGACCCAAAGGGCCCATCGTTTGCTAAAGCTATAAGGAATGCACTGGTGGGAGGGGCACCAGCATCACTAAATTCAGTGGTGGCTAGCTTTTACAGGCCAGGGCTCAGAGTAGGAGAGGATGTTATAGAATGAGAATCACTGATAGAAACAGCGATGACTCTGAAACAATAGAGGATGATTGCACTTAATTGCCAGAAGTCAGGTGGACTGCAGGGATGGCTGACCTGCAGAGAGTTCTGGAGATGGTTAATAGAACACAGTAGCCCTACTAAATAGATGGTTAAGAGGTAGTTAATCGAGTATGCATAGTCAATGTAAAACAGAGCCTTAGGGAAAATTGGCAGCCATCTGTATTGAGTACAATCTGTACTCAAATCTGTGCAGTCAAAAGAAGTCTAACCGGAGAGAGGTGGTATTGCACTGTGGTTTTTATTTGCATTTCTCTAACGATTCGTGAAGTTGAGTATTTTTTCATGTTTCTGTTGGTCATCTGTATGTCCTCTTTAGAGAAAAGCCTCTTCATATCCTCTGCCCATTTTTTAATTGGGTTGTTTGTTTTTTTGGTGTTGAGTTGAATGAGTGTTTTATAAATTTTAGATATCAACCCCTTATCAGATGTATCATTGACAAATATCTTCTCCCATTCAGTAGGCTGCGTTTTTGTTTTATTGATGGTTTCCTTTGCTGTGAAAAAACTTTTAATTTTGATGTAATCCCATATGTTTATTTTTTCTTTCAGTTCCCTTGCCTGAGGGGATATATCAGTAAAAATATTAATCAGGGTAATGTCTTCAAATTTACTCCCTATATTTTCTTCTGAGTTTTATGGTTTTAGTCTTACATTTAAGTCTTTAGTCCATTTTGAATTTGTTCTCGTATATGGCTTAAGGAGGTGGTACAGTTTCATTTTGTTTTACATGTGTTAGTTTTCCCAGCACCATTTGTTAAATACACTGTCTTTACCCCAATGTAAATTCTTGCTTCCGTTGTCATAGATTAAATGACCGTATATGAATGGATTCATTTCTGGGCTCTCTATTCTGTTCCATTGATCTATGTGTCTGTTTTTATGCCAGTACCATGCTGTTTTGATTACAAAACCGTGTAGTATGATTTGATGTTGAGTAGCATGATACCTCCAACTTTGTTCTTATTTCTCAAGATTGCCATGGCTATTCGGGGTCTTTTATGATTTCATATATAAATCAACAAACAACAAGTGCTGGCAAGATTGTGGAAAAAAGGGAACCCTCGTGCACTGTTGGTGGGATTGCAGATTGGTGCAGCCACTATGGAAATCAGTATGGGGCCGGAGACTGGCTCAGTTGGTTAAGAGCTCAAGCTCTGAGCGGCAGGGTCACCGGTTCGATTCCCACATGGGCCAGTGAGCTGCACCCAAGCTGAGCTGCCGCTGAGCTGCCAACAGGTTGCAGGATGGCTCAGCTGGTGAGAGCATGTGCTCCTAACAACAAGATTGCCAGTTCGACTCCCACATGGGATGGTGGGCTACTCCCACCCGCAACTAAGATTGAACACGGCACCTTGAGCTGAGCTTCCCTGAGCTGCCGACAGGCGGCTGAATGGTTCAGTGGTTAGAGCGTGCGCTGTTAGCAACAAGGTATCTGGTTTGACTTTCACATGGGATGGTGGGCTATGCCCACACGTAACTAAGATTGAACATGGCACCCTGAGCTGAGCAGCCGCGAGCTGCTGCCAGGCAGCCAGATGGTGACTGGACTTGGGAGCTGAGCTGCTGCGCCCTCCACAGCTAAGATAGAAGGACAACAACGTAGCTCTTCCCACTCCCCAATTCCCCAACAATGTTCACCTTCCCTAATTCCCCAATAAAATCTTTAAAAAAAAGAGAAGAGAAGAAATCAGTATGGAGGTATCTCAAAAAACTGGAAATGGAACTTTAAGACCCAGCAACTCCACTCTTGGGTATCTATTCAGAGAAATCCCAGATGCTAATTCGAAAAGATATATGCACCCCTATGTTTATTGCAGTGCCATTTACAACAGCCAAGTCTTGGAAACAACCGAAATGCCCATCGGTAGATGACTGGATTAAGAAACTGTGGTACATTTGTACAATGGAGTATTACTCAGCTGTAAAGAAGAATGAAATCTTCTTCACATATATACATATGATATGGATGGACCTAGAGAATTATGCTAAGTGAAATAAGTCAGTTGGAGAAAGACAAATGCCATATGATCTCACTTATATGTGGAATCTAAAGAACTGAATAAATTGGCAAAGTAAACAGAAATAGTCTCAGAGATATAGAGGAAAAACTGATGGTTGCTAGATGGGAGGGGGGTGGG